GGGCTACAGGGGTGGTGGTGGTATAGAGAATGATCTAAAAATGAAAAATGCAGGTTCCTGCCTGACTTTATTTGTAGCATTCATCAACTTTTAACCCCAACCATCCTGTAGGCCATGTTAAAATCATTAATTTTATACATTTCTCCAAAGAGAAGATAAAAATTAGAAAATAACATATATTTTTGTTTTACCAAGGATCACATACCTTCAAACTATTAACATCAAAAGGAACACTGTTTATCCCCCTGACAGGTCTAAACTTCAGCAACCCCAAAGAAATCTTGACTTGGTAGGGAGAACAACTGAAGGGACATAGCAACAGTAGTTGGGGTTGAGCTGCGACTGCATCATATCTGCTCTCGGGCAGTCGACAGACCTCGGTTTAAGAAATAAATAATAGTAGTTGCCATATGCCAGGCACTATATCTTTTTTAAAAACAATATTATGATACACGCACCTTATGTATTTTTTTAACTGGGGGAAAAAAAGTATATATTTAGAATTAGCCAGCTGAACTCAGTTTATTTATTTATTTAACTTAGATTTTTTTTTTTTTCTTGGCGGAACCGGGGATTGAACTCAGGCCCTTGCGCTTGCCAGGGAAGTGCTTATTCCACTGAGCCATCTCCCTAGCCCTGAACTCAGTTTAGATGATCCCAATTTTGTTGGCAACATCCAATACATTATAATCAGGAGCCAGTGGAACATATGCCTCCTTCTCTCCATCAGGCCTGATTAGGGGATTGACCTTGGCAACATCGGTGTCATAGAGCTTCTGTACAGCTTGTTTGATCTGGTGCTTATTGGCTTTGACATCCAAAATGAACACGAGTGTGTTATCGTCCTCGATCTTTTTCATAGCTGACTCTGTGGTCAGGGGGAACTTGATGATGGCATGGTGGTCAAGCTTGCTTCTCCTGGGGGTGCTCTTCCGAGGGTATTTGGGCTGCCTCCGGAGCCGCAGTGTCATGGGATGGCGGAAGGTGGGTGATGTTTGTATCTTCTTTTTGTGGCTGTGGATGCCTTTCAGCATGGCCTTCTTGGTCGTCAAAGCTTTTGCTTTGGCTTCAGCTTTGGGAAGGGGCAGGGGCTTCCTTCTTTGCCTTCAGCACCATCTTGAACTACCTTATGTATTTGTGACACAGCCTCCCACGTGCTACCTCAGTGTTCTATCACTAAGCTATACCCCAGCTTGCTGCATGGACCTTTTTATCTTCAAGCGCATGAATAGAAAACATAACTTTCAAAAGAGATTAAGAGGGTCTAAAGCCCAGCGCTAATATCTCTGAAGTTCTGAATCCTCAATGTTTCATCTATATAATAGGAATAACAATATCTACTTCACAAACTTTCAAAGTAAAACACACATATTTTATATACAGCCCCAGCCACTTAGACAAGATTACATCAAGGATCATCTCAAAGGTATGACTTTACCGTTTTTCTTAATACTAAGACAACTGGGAGTCATATTTTTTAGCTGTAACACTGTGCTGGAAATCTTTGCTTTGTTTCACTTTAACCACCTTCCTGAATGCCTGTGTGTATTAAAATGTTAAAATTCATAGAGCTAAATATCAATCTTGAAATAATTTTTTAATGTCGTTTTACTTGTTGAAATGCAATAGCGAATAACTTCTTGGAGGAGGCAGTAAGTATTGCTATTTACCCAAGGCGATTGTGACTTTTGTATTTGTTTTCTTAATAGGTACCAGATGTGGAAAGACAGGGGTCTACCCCACCCCACCCCCAAAAGCTCAGGGCAACACGTGGCCCTGAATCAGATTACACTGCATGTGACACAGTAACATACTCAAGTACTCATGGAAAGGAGAACCAAGTTTGCCACTCATATTTACAGGTTTACCCAGCATGCATTTGGCTTCGTAAAAATTTAGCTGAGAAAGTTAAAATCCTAAGAAGTTCTTAAACAAATTAAAAATTGAATTGATAGAGCTCAATGTTTCTGACAAAGATGCGTGTGTATTCGATTTTTAGTGGCTTTCGAAGTCAGCATCTGCATGAAAAGCCTGCAGAGGAACATAGTGAGATGTCTCCGTTCCATGGCAACTACAGTGAGGGCAGGGAGTCCCAGCCGGACTAGAAACGTGACCGTCATGAAAAAACCATGCCATCCCCCAAGAGGTCCGCACATGATTTATTAATGAAGATACTGAGCTATCAAACTGAAGACCACTTGTACTTTATTCATAGACCTTCTCCCATTTGAATTTTTCTTTTCCCATTTGAATTTTTAAGTAACCTCATAGGATGAGCCAAATCAATCATCCATCCCCAGTATAAACCATTCAAATGGAAGGGCATAAAAACACTGGCATGTTAGATGTTAGATTCTATATATACCATAACTATATGTATCTTAGGCATAAACTATGTCAAATCCCTAAATAAAAACCAATTGTAAGGCTCCTGGTCCCCAAAATAGGATTTCAGGTGCTGGAAACATCCATGTCTTTTTTTTTTTTTTAATGTATTTGGTTGTTGCAGGGTCTCACTGTGCAGCTTGGACTCACGGTAATCCTCCTGCACTGGGATTACAGGTATGCACCACTACACCTGGTCTCTGGCTGGTTCTGCCCCCAGTCCTGGGGGTGGGGCTGGTGTAGCACCGCAGTCCCTGCCCTTGCCTAAGCAGGCACTTAGTCCACGGAGCTATCTCGCTGGCCCCAACATCCATGTCTTTGAATATCAGAATATCTTATCAACAGGGTGGAGGCTGGCTTAGAAACAGAGACCCAAGTTTGGGTCTGGAACCACACACACACACACACACACACACACACACACACACTTGCCTAAAATGGTTCCCACGAGGCTCTGGAAAAGTTGATAAATTTTGGCGATTTGAGATGCCAGCACTCTGAAGTCTCCTGGGCTCAATCTCCTCCTCCTTCCCACAGTTAGCATGCGGAGGTCCGAGGGAGACTGGGCAAGGCGCGGGTACTCTGGAGTGCAGACACCCAGAAAGAAGCTTGTGGGTGTACCTTTCCCAGCTGTGACCCCTCATCGCTCCGCTGCGACACCCAAACTCACCTTGCTTCAGGCTAGGACAGCAGCACCTGTGCACTGTCCCCACACTAGCTTCAGAGAATATGCTCCAAAAGCACACAGTAAAGTTACCACAAAATCCCAGAGTCCTCCCACAGGCAAATCTGGGAACTCACTGGGGAACGGTTGTTCCCCGATTGCAAGGTAGGAATGTGCTACTGCTTCTACAGGGCAGAACGCTGATGAATCACTATGTACCAACTTAGGAAGATTTCCTCAAAAATGAATGTCCCTGTATGACTGTCCTAATAGAACAAAGTAGAGCCCGTTCCTCGCTAAGTATTTTATTTTCAGCACACTGTAGCTTAGAAATTTGGTTCTACCGACAACACACATGCAAACAGCAGCAATAAGACTTCCAAGTAACTGGCAAGGAACCATGCTGGCAGGAGGAGGTAGGAATATCACTACTTCCCGCAGCCGGGAGGCCTTTCACAGCAGCCGGGGTAATGAGAGTACATATTTGGTTCAAAAGTTAGAGTTCTGACCACCAAAATTCTTTTTATTAGACATTTTTGAAGCTGGACATACGCCTGTAATCCCAGCACTCAGGAGGCTGAAGCCGGAGGATTGCTGTGAGTTGGAGACCTGCATGGGCTACAAAGTGAGCTAAAGGCCAGCCTGAACTGCATAGTGAGGCCCTGTCTCAAAAAGACAATAAATAAACAAATAAATAAATATTTTTGAACACTAAACAACACAAATTCAAATGGTAACAACCACATCCATGCACAAGCCTGTAATTTAGTCCAACTTCTGTTCATGCAATACATACACACTAAAAAAATCATTTCTGCACATTTCACTGTCCTGTAAACTACATCATTTTGTGGAACTATATACCTTTATAAATAACACCCTGGAGCCCACATATCCATGCTTTCTGTGGCCAATGCAGCAAGTCCAATTTATTACAAAACGAGAGAAAGAGAGCGGGAACAGAAGACTTTCACGAGTGGATTTATTTAGAAGGAAGAACATTAAACAACTATGGTGACAACAGCAGATGCCTGGTTATAACTCAGCTTCCTAACGCTGATTAATATATTCATGAACACATCAAATATACTGCCAAGAGAAAACCACTACTATCAGCAGGCCTCCTGGTTTGCCTGTGCTTCTCAGTTGGGTCAAAGGCTCTTTCCTCGGCTACCAACACTATTTACCTTGCTTCCTGCCAATCTTGAAAACAGTTCATCTTGTGTGTCACTTCCTCATCAGTACTTCCTGTGCTTCCTGCTTTGTCTGTGTGGGATTTAGCCTCAGACTTCCACTTTATCTTTCCAAACACTTAGAACCATCTAGGCAGAAGGAGAAAGCCCAGAAGGGGCTGTGATTACAGCAGAGTGGGTCTCACAGCGGACCTGGCTTTTCGCATACCCCAGAAGTGTCTCTTTACATCCAACACTGCGTTCCCAATCTGAGTGCAAAAGATGAAATATACACATCAGGGAACTCCAGCAAAGAGGCCCTGGTATCAATATGTTTAATTTATTATTATTGCAGAAGAAGTTTTTCCATGATTAGTAAAATAGGAAACATATAATATATTCAGGGATCTAACCCCAGACCATTTAAAAGGTGGGGGGGAGAGGAAGGGGAAAAACAGAAGAAAAAAAAGTACTGTCAGTTACCACACGGTTTTTGCAGTAAACAATAGAGTAGGACGTGCAACAGTGCAATTTTCCTTTGCGAGTCCAGCAACGCAAGTCTTAGGAGGAAATCCATCAACGTCGCTTTGCATTTCAGGGTTTAGCTGCGTGCTTGCCGGGGGTCAGAGCTCCTGCCAGACTTCTGATTCTGAGCGGGCTCACTGATGCTTGAGTCACTTTTATTCAGTCCGAGATGACGGAGCTTCGTATCCCAGCGCTGTGAAATTAAAGAGAGAATAGCCACATGCAGGGAACACCAGAGTCACCATTTCCATGACCAACAGCTGGGTCAGACTGCCAAGTCAGATGGAGCTCTAAGGCATTTTACTGCTTTTCCAAGTATAGAGAACATACATCCCAGGGGAATAGTGAATCTGATAATGTATGAACACAATGTTCTAACTTTAACATGCACAAAGTTGCCCATCCATGATGTAGTCAATGATATTTTCCCATCAATCCTTAAAACTAAAATTTCCCTGTCTGTAAATGGTGCTCCAAGTAGCTACCAGTATCTGGGGGTGTTTCCTGAGAAAGCATACAAATATAAGATTTACATGGAACATTTGAATAAATGGCTTTTTAAAACCTCTCTCTTTTTATTTATTATTTATGTGTGTGTGTGTGTGTGTGTGTGTGTGTGTGTGTCCAGCTCAGCCCACCAGGGGGCGGGGCTGGCTGGCATGTGGTGCTGGGGATTGAACCGAGGTCCCTAGGCTTTGCTAAGCTTGCTCCAAGCAGGTGCTCTAGACCACTGAGCCGTCTCACCAGCCCCAAAACCTCTCTCTTAAGGCACATAACAAGATAACCTGTTAAAACCTGTTTGATTTCAGCAACAACAACAACAAAGTGGCAGGATGATATCCCTCAGGCATTTTTCTAAGTAATGCCAATCAAAAGCAGCAAAGAAAATAGACAGGATCTTGCTCTCATTTTGAGGGTTTTTTTTTTTTTTAATTTATTTGTTTGTTTTCCGATACCGAGGATTGAACTCAGGACCCTATGCTTGCCAGACAAGTGCTTATTCTACTGTGCTATCTCCCTGGCCCTCATTTTGAGTTTTATAAAGCAAGCTTTTCCATATTTTTCATAGCCAGTTACTTTCATATTAACAATAATAATATTCCTTGCAGCTAATATAAGAAATTAAACGGAAGTTACATTAGGGGAGCACAGCTCAGAATGACAGCTGTAGTTCTCAAGCTTCGGCGACCGACATCACCTGCAGACCTTGGTGAAAATGTTAATTTCTACTCCGTGGGTCTGGGATGGGGCCCAGGATTTTTATAGCGCACAGGCTGCAGGTGGCACCTCCGCTGGGTGCCTCAGGGACCACATTTCAAGTAGAAAGATGCTAATGCAGATAGCCGGAGTTCAAATCCTAATGCCATGATTTAGTCTGCAATATTGCTTGAATTGAATTGACTTGGTTTTTTTCATCATTTCTAAATTGTTAACAGTATTATAATCTGCTTTATGTGATGGCTCTGAAGACTGAAGAAAAATGAATAAAGTGCATAGCATGTAATAATAAATTAGGCATTATTAATTTTCTATCACTGAAAGTCTTTTTTTAGCATGTTTTATGGAAAGACCATAAAAAAGTCTTTTTAAAATACTTGACCTGGGGGCTGGTGAGATGGCTCAGTGGTCTAAAGCACCTACTTGGAACAAGCTTGGCAAAGCACAGGGACCGTGGTTCGATCCCCCAGCACCACATGCCAGTCAGCCCCAACCCCAGGTGGGCTGAGCTGGACACACACACACAAAATAAATAAATAAATAAATAAATAAATAAATAAATGTTTAAAATAAATAAATAAATAAATACTTGACCTACCTAGTTAGAGCAAAAATCAGCAGAAACAAAGCAACTTTGATTAAATAAGTGACTCACATCCCCCATAAATTTATTTTTTACATTCTCCTATTGACTAGAAAATTGAAATGAGGATCTCAATAATTCTAGCCAGAGAAAGAATTTCTATCCAAACCCTCTGGCCTATGTATATACAAATTAAAAACTGTGTGAGTCATGGGACTGTTTCGTCCATCATCAGGTTTAAAACCCGACTGGGAATGTAATTGATCTCCCAACAGCTCTGTGAGTTCCCTCTAGAAAACAATGGGAAACATGTCCACTTATTTAAAAACAGGACAAACGAGCCATGTATCCCGTTGACAACACCAGCAGCGAAGCTCGTTACATGCTCTGCAGCAGAGATGTTGAAAGCTCCTCCAACTGGTACAGGAATTTAGGACAAATTCCTGTTCTGCATTAGCAAGCAGCAAACCAAATTAGAAGGACAATACGGGATTCCAACGTACTGAGGAAGAGCTGCTTCTTTAATAAACACCACACGAACTGAAGAGGGATGGAAGTGGAGAACGCCCACAGGTCTGCGCCTAAAATGCATCTCACTTTTTAATAACCATACAAGGGGAGAGAGGGGCCTTGCCAGGGGAGCTTCTCTTTCCAAACAATGCCCCTACATTTCTCTAGGTCACTCAAATTCAGAGGTCTGCTTTGCCGAGTACCAGATGTATAAGATCAACCGCCCAAGGGCGTTTGACTTAACCTGTAAATGGTTCCCAAGCCTTCAGTCCGGCAGAGGGAAAGGGGTGGATTGTGTTTGGTGTAGGTCCCACCCCCACCCGCACCCCACACACATCCTTTGAGTTTCTCTCTCCCATGCACCTCCCCAACATTCTTTCTCTTAGAACAGCCTTAGTCAGGAAGAATGAAACCTTCAATAATAAAATAATTTACTACTCGATTTTTGTTCCTGGCTCAGCAGAATCTAAGAGTTATTGAATTAAAAACGAAGCTCGGTCACAGCTCTAGGAGCCTCATTTGGTCAGCTCTCATCTGCAGACACGATTGTGGCTAGCCCTGGCTACAGGCATTGGGGGCTGGGCATGGCCCCACTCTGATTTTTTCCTACCCACTGTTTATTTCCCTCTTCTCAATCTGTTCAAGGAAACTATACATCTAGTTTTAAAAACAAACAAACAAACAAAGTGTTATTTCCCAGCCTCCTTTGCAGTAAGAAGGCTATAACACCAGGTTCTGCCCAGAACTCCTAAGAAGGTTGTTGGATGGAGCTCTTTGAATATCCTTTTCTCTTTCCCTTCCTTCAGCCTGAAATTACATTTGATGCATGTTGTGACTTCCAGGGAAACATGATCAAAGCAGTTATTTACAAACTGACAGAACAATAAGCTATCAGAAGTTTGGGGTCCTCACTGAAGACGTCACAGTGCAATATAACAACCACCATTGAATACCTTTCATCTGGTGTTTCTTATACTCTCTTTAAAGTAAATTTTAAAAATAGGAAGGATAAGGAATTATTGAAAGGAAGAGTTAATGTTTAATTGCTCAGTCTGCAATCAACAAATCTGATAATACGTAAAATAGCCACGATTGTTAATTTTCTATTCTTGTTTTGAAATTCTGCACCATTATTATTATGTGATGTTGCTTTGTTTTTGTCTTTGTTCTTTTTTTTTTTTTCTCTTTAAAATGAATTTTTTTTTTAAAGTTTGGGATCTTAAGGATAATGTAAAGACCACCCCGTCAGAACTAGACGAACTACTGCGAGACTTGTCATCAGCAGGTGGAACAAATATAGTTAGATCCTGATACACATACGGGGAACTCATTCTTTGAAATAAAATAACTGTTAATGATAAACTCAGTTTATGGAGTAGTCAGTGTGAAAACAGACCTATACTCATGTAGCGGAGGGAGGCATTTCATTTCAGTGACAGTTGGCAGCATTCTACTCTTTCTTCCCATGTACTGCGTTACTTTGAATGAAATATAGACAGAGGCTTACCTTAACTTTTTTACCAAGTCGATCTTTCCATTTCTCTGCTATGGAGCCTTCCACTAAGAGTAATCTGCATTTTTAAAATAAGCAATCAGTTTGGGAAAATTAAAGTGTATCACTGTAAAACACAAGGAATCGGTGCCCCAAGAGACTTCCTATGTTTATTCTAGAAGAGAGAACTAAGATTGAAAGCAGTAGCTTACAGTCATTTGGAAGCCAAGGAACCCTTTCAGGAACAAGTGAAGCTATGCTCTAGCTCTCTGGGAAAATCCGTACGTAGGAACCGCACAGGCGTACGCTTCTACCCGATATATGACCCCGAGAGATCCGATTAAAACCCCCACCTGTAATTCTCAAGCAAGCAGAAAGAGCTTACAAAGATCTCACCACAGGGACATCTTAACAGAGAAATGCAGCGGCGGGCAGGCAAAGGGCTTGTGCTGCCTTCTGAGCCGTTGATTACCTAGAGCGTTCCTCGTCCTCGTAGCCCATGATGATGTACTCCTCGTTAACGTGAAGCGGCGGACACAGGCAGCCGGAGCTGGCGTAGAGGTTGACAGTGTCCCTCGGGATGTTCACCAGAGACGCTTTTAGGATCTCCTTCACCTCCACCACCGCAGTCACATCGTGGCACTTGGTCTTGAGCTCTTTCACTTTAGCCCGAATGACTGGAACAAAGGATGACGTGGCTGGTTTAGTAATGACATGCAATGCCAGCTTCCACTTAAAGCAGACAGCTGCTGCCGTGCTGGCCCTGACCCCTGGGCGTGCTGAGTCGGCAACTGAGACTGGGCGGGGTGGTGCCTGCCTGCAATCCCATCACTCGGGAGGCTGTACACAGGTGGATCACTACGAGTCCCATCTAGTAGTCAGACCCTGAATACCCTGCAGGCCCTTCCCTAAAATACAAAAAACAAACAAACAAAAACAGACAGCTGACCATCTCTCCAGTCAGTTCCCAGTCACTGAATGAATGTTCATTGTGGCTGCTTCCACAAAGCTGTCAGCCTCAGGTTGCTGGAGTTCGAACCTCACAACTCTCCTGCTGGCCAAAAGTGCCCTGAAGGCATTCGAGGAACAGAAAAAAAAAAAAAAAAAGAATGTTCATTGACTGGGGAGGGAAAGTCAACCATATGTTTTTGCCTTAGATGTTAGCAACAAAAAACTAAGCCACAGGGGCTGGGGAGATAGCTCAGCAGCTTAAGCGCCTTCCTGGTCTTGAGTTTGATCCCTGGTACAAAATAAATAAATAAATAAATAAGCTACAAACTTCCCTCCTAATGCTTTCTAGTTTGTATGTCTCTATATATTTGCATATCTGTATATATTTGGAGATATATACATATATATATATATATATATATAAACCTTACATATGAATCTGCAAATCACTTTGTCTGCAGAATTCTCCATATATTTTAGGAGTTTCAGACTACAAAGTTATTAGAAAAAATAATCTAGAGTTTAGGTATATAGCTCAGCAGTGTCAGCACCTGCCTGGCAAGTGCAAAGTCCTAAGCTTGATCCCTGGTTCCACAAAAAAAAAGAAAAGAAAGAAAGAAAAGCAAAAAAGAAAGAAAGGAAAAAGAAAAAGTGATCCATGAAAATAATAAGTCATGTGTCCATTCTTGTTTCAATTCCATCACAGAAACTTAATATCCCACCAGTACAACATGCACATGACAGAAATTAAATTACTGATTTGTTTTTAAATTTTAGGATAAAAGCTATTTTAGGGTCCAGCCAGATAGCTCAGCAGATTAAAGCACCTGCTTAGGCAGACTCAGGGTTTGATCCCTAGCCTGCTATGCTGGCCCTGACCCCAGGGGCCAGACTGTGATTGAGACTGGGTGCGCCGGTGCATGCCTGTAATCCCAGTGCTTGGGAGGCTGAAAACAGGAGAATCACTACAAGTCCAATCTGAGTAGTGAGACCCTGTAGACCCTGTACTAAATACATTTTTTTTTAAAAAAAAAAAAAAAAGCTTATTTTTGCCTCACTGGTAGTTTAATCTTTACAAAGCTAGTTGCCTGAAGTATGAGAACTTGTAACAAACAAAATGTAACTGCCCAGCTGTCCCTGCCCATTTGGCTTTGCAAGAGGAGTCCTTTCCTCCGGGCATTCTCTCCATTCTGTATTTTAATAAGAGATAAGATTGCTTGTTTTGAAACATCATTTGAGAGAATCAAATGATAAATTCTTGACCCTGTCTGGCAGACATTTTTTGTGTCCTGGCTTAAATGAATGTTCTTCACAGCATCCATCAACTATTAGAGATTAGTGAACTGTGTAAATGTTCTCAGACTAATGATTTATTTACTCAATGTGTCTACTATTTTTATTAGACATTTTTAGCACATGTACCCACTCCAAAGTAAATATCTCTCTACAAGACTTACTTTACCATTCAAATAACCTCATTAAAATTCCAGTTTTTAACTGAATCTGCATGAGGGAGAGGTTTCATGAGAAGTGTTCAATCGCTTCAACACCCACTTGTATCTGTACAAGCAAAGCTATACAATAAAACTCAAGGTATTTTCCAAGTTAAAATTTTATTTCCTCTTCAGAGGTTTTCCTTTTGGTCTGTTGTTCAAGTGCCTGCCTTCCCTGAAGAATTTTAAGTCCCAGACATATGACAATCCTTAAGTCACAGGAACCTGGATAGTGGTTGGCTATGTCTTCCTTTCTCATTTTATTTTACAATATTCACTTAGCTAACTTCTCTAAGATCTTCTCTTTCCAGTGACTTACAACTACTACTATTCTTTCTATCTTTCTTTTTTTTTCTTTCTTTCTATTTTTGAAACCTGGTCTCACTCTGCAGTTCAGGCTGGCCTTGAACTCACTATGTTGCCCAAGCTGGTCTCAAACTCACAGCGATCCTCCTGCCTCCATCTCCCAAGCACTAGGACCACAGGCATGTGTCACCAACCCTGGCACCCACTCCTATTTTAACTTTCAACCAACATTAAAGAGGTTGAATAAAGTAAAAACTAATAGTAAGTAAAAATAAATACAAATGACTAAACTTCTTTGACATAAAATTATGTTTGAACATTTATTATAACTATACTTAAAAGTTCATATAGCATTTTTCAATCTGAAATTCCTAATCTCCTGAAAATTAATCTCTTCCTTTTCCCTGTGGTTTCTTACATCAGTTCGCCTATGGAAGAGGTCTTACAAGCAGCCAGGCATCTGAATTCTTCAGTGTGCATAACCTTTCCAACTTGGATGGTGTATCTATTGCTAAGGGAGGCTGGATTCCTCTTCAAATGAGCAACAAGCAAAACAAATAAAAATTCCATTGAAAATAGTCTTGGAGGGCCAGAGAGATAGCTAAGAAGCATAAGCACCTACATGGCAAGCACAGTGACCCCAGTCTGATCCCTGGCCCCACATGCCATGGAGTCTCGGGCCCAGATCCTTGGATGCACCATCTAGTGGTGCATACCTGTAACCTCAGCAGTGGGGTGGCTGAGCCAGGTGGATCTCTGGGAGTTTAAGACCAGTCTGGGGGATACAAAAGTGAGCACAAAGGCCAGCCAGAACTGCATAGTGAAATCCTGTCTCAAAAGAAAAAGAAAAAAGAAAAAAAAGTCTTGGGAAATGAGTGGCATTTGTTTTAAAGAGATTTAACTACACCAAAAATTCTCTACTTTATATTTTTAACACACAATAGTTCCAGAGGCTGGGGCTTTAGCTCAGCGGTAGAATGCTTGCCTAGCAACTGGAAGCCCTGGGTTCGGTCCTGAGCACCAAAAACATAAAATAAACCTCCCCTAAAAAACAATTCAACCAAAAAGTAGAGTAAAATCAAAAAAGACCAAAAACAAAACAAAACAAGGTAAGTGCACACAACATTTCCAAAGATAAAAAAAAAAAAAAAACTATTAAGAGTCTTAGTCATTTTTCTCTTTTCAATTCCTACAAGTGTAGAAGTGGAAATAAATCTGCTCGGGCCAGGGAGATGGCTCAGTGAAATAAGCGCTTCCCTAGCAAGCACAAGGGCCTGAGTTCAATCCCCGGTTCCACAAAAAAAAAGAAAAAAAGAAGAAAGAAATCTGCTCGGTGTGCCCTATGCCTCCTAAACCAGGCTACGTAGACACAACAAAATGTTCACTCTAATGGTAAACTTCACTTTGAAAGCCCATCCAACTGCCATGCTCCGTGACACTCTTAGCATCAGTGGTCTGTGACAGGGCGGCACGAACTATTAGCCTCACAGACAGGGGGTGTGCAGTGCTGATCCAAAAAGCTAGCATCAGAACCCTTCTGAGCATCACTGTGATACCAGAGGTAGAAAAGTCCACACCTGATTTCCGTGTTAGGTCACAGTTAAAACGCAGGAGCTCTGAAACTACTGTATAAAATTACCTTTGGGCAATATGTATATGACCTGTAATGAAATGTAAGTATAGTCCGTGTCTTCATTTAGGACACAAACCCAAGATGTCTCGTAACATATATGTATACTTTCCAAAATCTGAAATCCAAAATACTTCTGGCCCCAACCATAGTAGATCAGAGATACTCAATTTGTACTATTAGAAAAATAAATCAAAAATATGCTATATATAGGATACAGCAAATGAAACTCTCAATAAAATATCTATAGAATACAGTAACATTGACTATCCATACTTTAACTGGAAAACTAATAACTTCCACTTCTGATGATAATTGATTTATAACACAGAAATGCACTTGTACCTTTTTTAAATTTTTTTTCTGAACCGGGGATTGAACTCAGGCCCTTGTGCTTACCAGGGAAGCACTTATTCTACTGAGCCATGTCCCTGGCCCAGCACTTGTACCTCAAAGCACATTATGAAAAATTAAAGAAGGGATAACCTATGTTCAATAATCATTGATAAATTCATGATAATGCAGCTCATGGGAGGCTGAGAAAATCGGACACAGCAACTTATGAGGACACTCAGCACCACCCGACACAGGCTTCCCAACCCTAGCCTTTTGATTAATACGGTGTTTATCAGAATGTCATATCATTGGGCCAAGCTAGATAACAAAACATCTCAACTGAATACCAACAACTGTTAAGAAGAGTTACTCCACAAATCTGTCCATAGTCTCCGCAAGCCAGATGGACTGAACAGAACCAATCTGGCCCCTTGAGCAACCTCACACACCTGTGGAGGTCAGTGGACAGCTGTCAAGGCGAGCTTGGTCCTCCACAGCTGCCAGGTACAGAAAGGCCTGTCTGAGTTAAAACTCCCCTCCGTGTGCTGCAGGGCATGGTGCTAGCCTAATAGCACTGCGTTGATTAAGAGCCTTGCCATGTGAACCACTTGAATTCACAGAAGCAGGGGAATGATGCTCGTAACCATGGTCTTGTTGTTGTTGTTGTTACTGGGAATTGACTCCATGACCTTTACACTGAGCCATATCTCCAGCCCTTTATTTTACTCTTTATTTTGAGGGTCTCACTCAGGCTGGACTCGAACTTGCAATCCTCCTGCCTCCGCCTTCCAGAGTACTGGGATCACAGGCACATACCGCCACACCCAGCTTAAACCATAGTAATAGACTGCTCCCTGCCTTGCATGCATGCAGGCACGCACATGCACCCAGCTATACACACCCACCCCCCATTCTTTACGCAGGTGTGCTTACCGTAGTTGTAATTGTTCCGGAAATAGATCTTCTGTGTAGCTCTAATGGGCTTACATTTGCAGCGTTCTGAAAAAACAGAATGATGGAATAAGGACAAGCAGGGAGTGTCATGAGGGGAATGAGGGCACTATGTCTTTGACCATAGTACATTTGTTTTAACTTAAACTTACTGTATTTTTCAGTCCCATCCCAGAAAACAGAAAATTCACAGTTACCTCAGGAATTGAGAAAACAGTTGATTATACATAGAGTTTTCCCTCAAGTAGTACGCCTAAAAAGACTTCTCTAGAAATTCAACGGGAGGCATTCTATTTGTGATACAGAAAAGAAAATAAATAACAAACGGGTAGGAGAGAAACATCTAATAATGGTTGTATTGAGAAAGTATTCTCTGTTAGCCCAGGAACGAATAATAAAAAAAGTAGGAGCTTTTTATTGACCACTTGTGGTTGCATTTTCTGATCAAAATAAATCTCAGTTCAGCTGAACCTGTGAATACACAGCAGCAGTCTGGGAGGCCAGCTCTTCCCAGCCAGAGCTCAACTGCAGAAATAAGCATCTCTCCTGGAAGAGGGTCTCAGCTGCCGCTGGCCCAGCTCACTACACGCGGCACCTTCCCTCTATCGTTCTGTGGGTGAGTTTTTAAGTGAGATCTCACTAAAGGTCTCAATTCAACAAGCAACAGGTGACACCAATGCTTGTTGTTTTGAGGAAAGCTGGTTACTTCAAAATTAACTTTCCTATTAGCAAAAGTGACTTTCCATTGAAAAGAAGGAGGAGCCGGGGAGGTGGCTCAGTAGAATAAATGCTTG